ATAATATACTCTTCTTTTAAGTTTTTCATCTGATATAGTACTCCCTGTTCTTTGTCGAAAAATATTTATTTTTTCATTTGTTTGTTTTTGTAAGTTCCAAGTTTCCATAAGTATTTTGTCTTCTTCTGTTGTATATTGGTTTTGTAAAGTACTTTCTTCATGTTTTTCTTCGGATATATTAATAGTTTTTATTTGGTCATTTTTATTCTTTCTTGATAAATAATAGTATCTAGAAACAATTTGTTGCTCAGTTAAATCAATATTATGGTTGAATTTTAGTTCTTTTGCTTTTTTTTTGCAGATCCTTGAATTGATAACAATTTTGCATCTAGAAGTTCTGTCCATTCAAATTTTCTCTTTGTCATAATTTTGCCCTTTATACTTAAATGCCCTTATTGCCCTTGATGTCCTTACACCCACCGGATAGGTGGGTGCATCCAGATTAGTTTTTTCTATGATTGTTTAGCTGATCAAGATTGTTTAAAGAGATTCAACAATCGAACCGAATGGACTATTTTTAGCCTACTTTCAGCAAGTATTAATTCTCTATCTTTCAATCAACAGCTTTGTGAAGGCTGATAATTGATAATCTAGACCAGTAGAAACAATCAAAGACCTTTTACTTACTTCTCAATGTTATTCCGTTGAAAGCCATTTATGCCCTAAAGCTATATTAAGTCTTTATTTAAATGGGCCTAAAATGGGCTTATGAGAGAAACGTGAGCACAAGTACCAGACTCATGCATTCTTAGGTAATTGACTGCCTGCTCAATTGTATTGTTTCTAGATCTCTTTTGGGTTTAACACCACTACCTCGCATGGATTCTTGGGTCTTGCCCAAGAATCCATGTGAAATGATTTTGATTGGACGTGCGAGGGTTGGTTGTGGAAAACCCTCACACGTCCAATGACAAGTCCCTGAAAAGTCGATGGACTCAAAGATGGTTTGAAGTAGTTTGTAACTTTCTTTCTCATTAGGACATTTTTTTATATACCTTGATGTAGGTTCTACTTGAAATGATTTCTTTTTCTCGCTGTCAGTAGAGCATCTTCAGGCTCTACTGACAATGACAGCCCTGGATGAGGTAGCCAAGTCCAAAGAAAGTTATTCAAAATGTCAAGTGAGATATCTTCGACTAGGCAAGATGATTCCACAAACAAGTAACATTGTTCTCACTATGGAGACTAGTATTTAGCATGATGTTTTCAGTTTACAGGGTTGGCTATGGAAAACCCTCGCACATCCAATGACAAGTCCCTGAAAAGTCGATGGACTCAAAGATAGTTTGAAGTAGTTTGTAACTTTCTTTCTCGTTAAGACATTTTTTTTATATACCTTGATGCAGGTTTTACTTGAAATGATTTCTTTTGAGCTACTATAGGGTGAAGGAGAGCTCAACATTGCCAGAGATGGATATCTAGGGCCAAGAACCAAAACAAACCTTTGATGTATGTATGCCTTCCCATTTAACTTTCTTCTAAGCTGTTTTGTTTTTCTTTTGTAAGTTATCCAGTAGGATCCAGTAAGAGCACGGTCATTCAGAAGCAAGAGCCTTAGTTTAGCAATCTGCAAACTCTGTGACAAAAAGATGTCAAAGATACAAGGACTTTTACTTACTATGTCAATGTCGTATATGGCTTCAAGCATCTAGGTCAAACAAATCAACAACAAAGCTGAAATTTGGAATTGCTTGTGGCTCAAGCTCTTTCACATTCATTTTCTTGCACATTTACTGCAAGATGGGGTTTAACATCTAGTATAGAAAGCAATACACCACATTCTTCACCCAGCTTCTCTAAATCCCTTAAGGAACTCCCTAGCTAGATGCACAATGATTATTTTCCTGGATTCCGGTGTTAGGCATATAATGTTAACGTGGTAGATTACCTGAGAGGGGCTTTCAGAGGCAGCTTGTGTTTCTCACATATTAGTTCTCTAATTGATTGTGCAATGCAATCAGCAGCAATCTTGTGAGTCGTTGCCATGGGATTTCTAGTTTGTGTGCTTTGAAATCTAGAAATTGTTAAGAGAAGCATTGCAAGATTTCATGAATAGATATTTGTATTATAGAGAAAGCAATTGAAAAATAGACAAGAGACAATTGTATCTATTTCTGGTTGTTGGCAATTTCCATGGCTAAATTGTTTGGTGTCTCAAAATGGACAATAATATTTGCCTCATTCAATAGAAAGAATCCTATTGGTTTTGAAGATAGATAAACAACAATTTTTTCTGGGGACTCCATAGCAAACTTGACCATAGACCCTTCATCCAAATTATAAATTTTATCCACCATTTTATCACGCACTGTAACTTTGATGGTTTTGTTGTTTGTGCAAAGTGTAAAGGGCGTTCCATCCCTCGTAAATCAGCTACAATAACTGGTTTTATTATATCAACTCTAACATTGTGAAAGAGCAAAATGAGCAAAGACTTTCAGCTTGAGTGAGACTTTGTTGGTTGTCAGGGATGAAATATCCACTAATCTGTATAATTGGAAGTTAGAGTTGAAAGTAGATATAAACAATTTACATTACCTTGTCTTTAGAAGTGAGACCACGGTGTGTTTTATAAACTTCATTGAGCCTCTGAATTTCATTTGAATCAACTAGTGGCAAAAAAAAAGTACTTCCAAGTGTTGCTAAATCACCTGATGCACTCATGCTTTTCATAATATTAAAAAATAAAAACTTTGGCATATATCCAGTATATAAATTTGCTACAATATGATGATATTGCTCTTCATGCTCCAGATGCATATAGAGCTGTGAAAATATCTTAGAAATAGAAAATTAAATAGAAAAAAACATTACCATAGTTACGTCCAAAGGATTATCAGAAGAAGCAATCTTTATTTTAGGAAAAACACCAATGTTGATTACAACAGCATGTATAGCTTGTGGATAAACTCTAGTAGCCATTAAAGATGATATAGAAGCTCCTCTAGTTGGCTGTAATCTTAATTTAACATCAAAATCATCTATAATTTGAATGATAGAAGAATCTGTAATATAAAGAACTTTTTCTGAAGTTCCATGGTGGTAAACTGGGTTTTTCTGTTGTTCAACCCATCTGCAGTGAGAGAATTATAATCTTGTTAATTTTTTTAAAAAAAATTACAAACCTTGTAAGTGAGAAACATTTACCAACCATAAATTTATTATATAATCGTGCACACATGGATGAATTACCATATACAGTTAAAGTTTGCAAGCCATGCATATCTATACAATCCATTATATAAGTTAAGTATTTTGCACTTCGCAGAGTGTTCTTTGCAAGATGAACTTTATAAGTTCCATACCTAGGCAAAAAGCAAATCAAAACTACAGAAAAAAAACGATTTCAAAACCATACGTAGATAAAACCTTTAGCTCAAGAATTTTGGTTGAATTTGCTTTTTCAAAGACAAGTGATGCAATAGTGGCTTTTAGGATGGTCAACTTTGTCCTCTTTGCTTGTGAAACTACAAAACCAAAGAGAAATAAATCAAGAAATACTAAGGAATAAAGAGAAAAACCAAACCTTCATAAGAATTTGATTCTGTAGACAAATCGTCAGCTGGTGACGACTGAACAATATCCATAACACAATCCAAATCTGACATATCTATGTGATTGATTAAACAGAATTACCTCTAGTTAATTTATACTAGTGAAAAGATCCAAAAATAAACTAGACTTCACTTTGAAGAATCAAAAACATAAAAGAATAAAACTTTGAGCTAAAAATTAAAATCTGTCAACTTGCCAAACTTAGGGTTACGGTAGACAATAAACCAATTCGGCAGGTGACAAACCTTCTGAACCTTTTCGTGCACTGACTCTCCTCATTTGTAAACATCCTTGCTAGATACTTCTCATCATTGACCAAGCTAAAGCTAGAAGCAGCCTGACTGTACTCCTCAGCTGCTACAATCTCCCTCTATCGGTCGCTTAAGAAAAGAGGAATGAATAGGAATAGAAAGATTGTCCTCCACTGATCTTTGTTTTCTACCCACTGCCCACTCACATAATAGGGAGCCATACAGAGGAAGATCTAAGCTCCATCCATAGATGCGTTCCAGGTTGATTGATTGATTCTGGGCAATCAATCAGTACCACCATAGTGGGTTTCTGATCCTGGATCGTGGCTCTCAGCTCAAACCTCCAGGGAGAGCCAATTCTCAATCAATTCACTAGTCCAAATATGATTTTCTTGATGCTTCCCAGGGACAAGAGCAATCCATTGGAGCCAGTGGACAATGCAGCGGCCAGGAACGACGATAGCATCATGATTGATCTCGAGGGGGCACTACTCAAATCCCTGAGCTGGTTTCAATGCTTCATGCTTGTCACAATTGAGGCTGGGAGGCCTCTATGAGCGCTCCTCCTATTTTTCATTCTACCCTTCATGTGGATCATTGGCTGCTTCGTCCATCTTGGCTCTAGATTCTCTGCTTCATGGCAGATCTTGGATTGAGGGCCCTGGCAATGGAACTTTGAGAGCTCCCTTGTAATTGCCATTATGGACATAGAGCCTAACCAATGCACTATACATTACACAGTTTCTTTGGCTCATGCTCCAAAAACCACGTATGCTCGTGATGATACAAAGTGGTTAGAAAAGTTTATAAATTATAAACATGTTTATAAATTATAAATATGAAATTAATCTAAATGAATAACCACCATTGGATGATAGAATATTCAAGAATATTCAAGCATATTTTAAGTATATTCATTACCATCTCAGTCCTCCTACACGTTTGCTTAAGCAAACTAAAAATGTGTGCAGGTTTTTATATTCATCAAAAGTAAGCAAGACATAGACTAGCATTTGGAAGATTGGCAAAGCATTCCCTTGAAACCAACTATGACAAGATAAGATGCTTGGCACCACCGATATCTCATAGGCCACACGAGTGTATGAATATCCCTGAGACACGATCCAGGCCGTCAAGATATATCCGTTTAGGTTGTGAGTCCTAAATCGAGCGATGTATGTCAGCGTGGGGAGTGCCATGGATGCCTGGGCGACGTTTGAGCGAATTGGCACCGGTGCGACCGTGTGTTTGAGGTTGGAAGAACCCGATGTCCCAGGGGGCACTGCCGAATTTGAGCTGAGCCGGGACGCTGTGGAGGATTGCAAGGAGATGGCCGGCAAGGAGGTGAGCGACACTCCACTCCTGGAGGACGAGGATGGCTGGCCTTTGACGGTGGTTCGCTTCTCCGACTCGCTCTACCGCATCAAGAATGTGGCCGCGGACAGCTTCCCGGAGTCCTTGGCGCTCATGGATTTCCACGCGCGCCGTCGCGTCCACGGCCTCTCGCCCCAGGATTTGGCTCGAGCGGACGAGGAGTACCTGTTGGCCAGGAAGATCCCTTTCACTATTCTCTTGGGCATTCATCACGTCTGTAGTAGCCTTTGATCTTCTTCGTCTTTGCCATTTACGTTTGAAGCTCTTCTTGCAGACTCTAGACTTTCTGGGGCATCCAGCAGTGGACACGGTTGGCAAGGTGATCAATGAGACACCAGGCAGGCCGAGGCTCTTGTCCGATCTCTCACTCGAGGAGATTCAAGCCAGAGGTGGACTGCAGTATTAAGTTTTTTCATCGAGTCTCCTGTTAACTTTTCTTCTTTGCAAGACTGAGAAGGGCTGATTTCTATCTTTGATATTCCCCTTTGAAGTCTTATAAAAAAAAGAGGTTGAGTGAGTCTAATCCAAGTTTCTGTTGTTTAGAATAGAAACGATCCTTTGTTGTCGTTTTTGCTTGGAATTTTGTGTTTGTGTTCTTCCAGGCATGAATTTTTTCGTGTTCACTGTTCCAAGAACGAGCTCCTGAAATTCATAAGAACGCGTGGCGTCCAAAGGTGATGGATGTTGATTAAAATATTGTATAAAATCAGTGATGTAATACAACCATTATATATCTGGGATATGAATATAGATGATAAATTTTATGTTGGACCTCGAACAATTTAAAACAAAAAAGTTTAGCTATGATCAATTTTTCTTTCTTACTATATTGAGAAAGGTTTTGACAATTCTTTGGTGAAAAGCTGTCTCTTAAAATCGTCTTCCAGCTGAATTAATTTTCTAGAAGTTGAAAAGAAAAACATTTTCAACTTTTACACTTTTTCTTCTATTTTTCTTTGTATGCTGAATTTGCATATTCACGTACATCTTCTCATCCCCACCAAATAAAATATAAGTTAGTTCAAACTATTCTAGATAATATACTTACTAGACTATTAGCTTTTGCAGTTATTCTATTAAAATATTTTTCATGATCAAGTCCTTACTGATGACAAAAAGCCTCCTCTTCACACCATAATGTCTTCTATGCATCATCTTCATTTGGATCTTTCCACTGCCATAATACTTGACAATCTCGGGATTTACAAGCATGCCATCCAAAGTCAGCCTCTTGCTTGGCTCCATAAAAAGTATTTTCTAGATGAAATCTTCCACTTTGCACAATGCAAAATCGTTTGGAAATGCCAAGAAATCCATCTTTACCCTCAGTTTATAGTTTCTTACCAACTCATACACAATAACTCACAGTCCCCACACGTCCACAACCAACATGTAACTCTCATGATCCTCAAGCTCCATCTCTCTTCACTGCCACCACCTCATGCACCATGTACTTCAATGTTCCACAGTTGACAATACTGCCGCATGTCCCACTATTTGTTCGTGGCCATGCCAAAGTCTCCAATCACCACTTCATCCTTGCAGTGGCATTGAGCCTCTCAAAGATGTTTTTGAGCTTGAGATTGCAGTGGACAACCCCTCTAGAGTGCATCCACTTAGCATTTTTACCAATGTTTTGATTGTCTTCACAGACCCTGGATCAATCACTCTGCCAGTCTAGGGCGGCATAACTCCATGTCCCATAGCACCTCCTAGCCCTCATAAAATTCTTGTTGTCAATAATTTCACAAACTCAAAACTTGGACATGACCCAGCTTCACATTGATCCAACAATTTCCTGATATACCTCTTGAGAAACTTGAACCTTAATTTAGGCTAATTACTTTTAAAAAATCTTTAATTTAAATCTTGGTAAAATTCTCAAGCTAATTGGACTAAGAGACATGGACAGCGTGTACTGGCTCGCTGGAGTTTTGCATGGCATGTTTGGAGAGAGGTGGTGGCGATGGGGATTCCAACACTCCACGAATGGATTCTCTATCATATTTCAGTCCCAGAAAAGACGGCAGCGATGCCTAGAGTTTCAACAGAGAAAGAGGTGTTGCTTTGCCACAAAATTATGAGCTTTGACAACGTTTCGATTTGGACTTCCAAAATGCACAAACTAACGCATGGCATGAATGGTATAAAAAGAGCTCTCGCAAGAGAAGAAGAAACCAAAAGAATGGCCGGGTGAGGATCTGTTTCACGAGGCCGAACTCCAAGGTCCAAGGCACGGCAGCGTCCAGCTCGAGCACTGATCACGGCATCCAGTTTCACTGATGATTCAAGAGCGTCCTGTACCTGTACGAGCTGCCAAGCACTGGCTGCAACGACGAGCTTCAGGGGTGCAGCGATGCGGATAGCGAGTCCCATCGCCAGAAGCTCCGGGCCAGCGCTGGCTAGCCGTGATGATCCCGATGCATCACGCTCGGCAACCTTGCCAGCGATGGTAGCGTTCGAAACAGTTCGGGAGGACGAGATGATTCCATACGTGGATGGCTTTCCATGGGATTCCGCGGAGGAGCTGGAACGTGCAGCTTGCGGGCCTTTTTCTCCCGAAGAAATAAAGGATGCAGCGTCAGAGGAGGGGCATTTTCCATGGCAAGAAGTGGAAGACCTTCCACCACCTCACGAGGCCAACGATGATCAAGCAACGACGACAGCGCCAGCTCCAAGGAGAACAAGCAGAGGCACTGAACAAGAAGAAGAAATCTATACATGGAAGTCGAAGGTGATGAGGCATAGATCGAAACTAGTTCAACTAATCCGGAAAAACTTATTTTAGCTGTAGAAATAAACATTGTCTTAACGGCGCCTTTTCTTCTTTCGACCCAGCTGACCGGACTTGGCAGCCGCCTCTTGTTCTTCCAAGAATGCCATGGCTTTCTTGTACTTGTCTTCACGCTCCTGCTCGGCCTCGGCTCGTTCTTTCAGTTTCTCTGCAGCCAGGAACTGGTTGTCTTTCCTCAGCTCCCGAGCCGCGCCTTTGGCTTCGCGTTGGATTTGGCGCCGCAGCTTCTTCCTCTCCGCCCTGTCTCGATCAATATCGTAGTCTCTTCCCTTGGCAAAACTGAGAAAGAAGAAGAATACCACCACGTTAGAAGAACAATCGTAAAGCGGCGACTACGTACTCTTCCTCAAACTTCGGGTTGAACTGCTTGATGGGAGTGGGTTTCTTCAGCCGCAATTGCAAAGGCTGCCGAAACTTTTCCAGCTCCTCTACTGTCTTATGGATGAGCTCGAGCGTGTCAATTATGGATGCCTTTAAACTCTTTGGGAGGAGCTTTGAGGAGGACAGCTCCAGCAGTACAGGAACGAACTCCCTGAGGATCTCGGGACTAGACGGTAAGTCGTTGTAAATCGTTACAAATCCTTTCAATGTTTGGATGGAAGCATTCAGGATGCCACACCTGAATTTACCAGAACCGAGTTATTAAACGACCTCAGCGGTATAACCAAACCTGAAGGAGTCCGTGTCAAAGATATCCAAATCGCCATCTGCCGCCACTAACTCTGGGAAGTCCAGGTCGCAAAAGCTTTTATCAGAATTGTCGTCCTTGAGAAGTAACCAAGGCCGACTTCCAACCAGCTCTCTCAAAAATTGTGGACCCTGGAAACCACCAGCTTACTTCAGAAAAAGAAAATGGTCATACAAATTTACCGTTTTTCTAGCCGCGCTACTATCTGGCAGGCCCGTCGACAGCAGCACCAACAAAAAGCTCAAAGCCTCTGGGAAAAATCTCCGAGCATGTTTCATGATCTATCAAACAAAAGCAGGTTAAAGCAATAAAAATAAAAGATGAAAAAATCGGTGCTCACTGAAAGTGCCAATGAGCATAGAAAGGCTCCAACTCCAACATCTCGGCCTGAAGTAACTGGACAACGCATCAAATACTCTCCCAACAAAAGTACCAATGGTGTCATGACTACATGCCGAAAGTCCGATCCAGGAAATATAAGAGACCAAAGCCTCATCAAGAGAAGAGTTCTCACTGACGGCCAGCAGCTGCTTTCATCTCCATCTACACTGGATTAAGGTCGAAGTTAAAACAAAAATGGACATTGAAACGCGCAAGAGCAGCATACCTTTGCTTCGTAGCTTGTCCGACAAAACTTGTTGCATGCGTATCAGCCTTTCACGTGCACACGCAGCTGCGTAATAAGGCGTCTCTAAACTCATTTCGATCAACGGCTTCGTTAGCATGTTGATTCTATCCAGAGGTAACGGTTTCGCTCCCGCCAAATCCGAAATGTACAACACCAAAACATTGTAGAACACCTGGAGCAGAAAAGATTAGTCAGGGAGAAACAGAAAAACCAAGATAAACAAGTACCTGCATCTTTTTCCTGTTTTCGGCCGCTAGACTGATGGCATTACAAGCTCTGATCCGTTGAATTGCCACCCCTAGCTCCTCAGTCGACCTGTGTTTAACCAGCCCCAGGAGCTGTTCGAGAGTCTGAGGTGCGTTGATAACGAACGGAAGCTCACGGGACTCTTCTATATCTTTGTCGTCACTCTCGTCTTCCTTACGCAACGTAGATTTCACCTCCTCGATTAGCTCCTCCCTCGTGGACTCCTCACTGCCTGATGTTCCGCTGTCTTCACCTTGTACAGCTTCATCGAAGTCAGTGTCTTCTTCATCATCGTCGTCGCCATTTTCCTCATTGTCAGTATCGCTAGCATCTGGATTCTCAGCCTCAGTCCTGGCCATGACTTCGTCCACCCATCCCTTTTCTTGATACTCCTCTTCCAGAACAAAGTTTTCACCGAGATCATCACCAGATATCTCAGCACGCTTTCTCTTCTTCTTCCGCTTCGAACCTCCGTCGTCTTCGTCGGCCTCAGAGTCTGATTCCTGCGCTCCGGTCATTCTTTGTATCCGTTTTTTCTAAAGCACGCAAAAGTTTTGTCAGAAAGTCTACAGAACTTGGAAGATTCATTACGTGCCTCGAGCTCCTCTAGACGTTCTTTTTCCTCCTTTGCAATCTCTTCGGATGTCTTTAGCCTCTCCGAAGCCTGTGCGCGTATTTCAAAAGCCATCTCCTTCATCAGCTTGTCGTAGTCATCTGGTTTCTCCTGCACAAATATATAAGCCAAGTATTGCAGGACAGTGTGTGAAGTACCTTCTCGGTATCTGCGTCAGAAGCTTTATCATTCTTAATCGAGCCTTTCGCCAAGAGAGCCTTCAAAGTATTAATCTTTTTGGGACGCATCAAAGAGAGCAGAGCTGGCGTTTCGGCCAAAACTTTAAAATCGCTGTCCAGCTTTTCTCTGAGATCAAGGTCGTCTTCTTTTTCTTTGGCTTTCACGGCCTGCAAATAAGCAAAGTTGAGTACGCCGGTGTATGGACCGACCAAATGAGCATACCTTGAAGTGCTTGCTTTTGGCAATAACTTCTTCCATAATTTCTTTCTTTGATCGTTTCTCCTGATACCAATCGCATCTTAAGAGTGAAATCACCTTGAAAGAAATATAGAAACTATCTGACCTTTCTTGCGGGATCAGCGTCCGTGAAACCACCTCCGAAATTGAGCTCTTTTTGTGCTTCGGCAACCTGAGGAAGCTCTTCTTCATCGTCTCCCGAAACATCTTCATTAAAGTCATCCAACATCGATAAAGCTGCTCCCTTGTGAGTAAGAAGATCTCCCTCTTCTTCTTCTTCTTCCTCAGCGTCGGGCAGTGCAAACTTACTCTTCCTCTGGAGTTGAGCCTACACGAAAGACCAACCAAGAGACTTAGTTTCTAGCAATAAAAAAAATTGCACCAGTCTTTCACGTTGAAACCGCACAATCGCCTTCTCATCCTCGCTCATCTCTTCGTCATTCTCTCCAAACCGACGATCAACGAAAGCATTGCTCTTGTGCCGCAGCTTATACTCCCGCAATATCGTCTTCTTCCGCTGCAAAACTTCCCCACAATCGGCTCCAAATCGAAAATGCATTGCATACGGGTACCTTCTCAATGCCGCGGGATCGCAACTCGCCAATCCTGCGCCCCTCGCCCTTCTGCTTCTTGCCGAGAATGTCAAATTTCCGCCGCGACCACAGCGTCTCGAAGAGACTGGGAGCAGCAGCAGCCGGACGAGGCGCAGCCTTGGCCGGGCGCTTCTTCTTGGCCATCGCTTAAACCCTAAACGTTTAGGGTTCTAGCATCTATTAATTTTTATCGAGGTACATATTAAAGACCTCTAAGCCATGGTTATAAATGTTAAGCTTTCATAGCTCAGTTGGTCAGAGCACCCGTTTAGTAAGCGGGAGGTCCCGAGTTCAACTCTCGGTGAAAGCAGCTTGCCCTCTAAGGCGAGTGAGCTTAGCCAGCTTCGATAATGCGGGAAAGAAGAAACTCATTATCAAAGGTATAGCGTTTGGCTTCACCCCTTCCATATCTTCGCAGCTCAAACACTTCTCTTCAGTTGCTGGCACCGGGAAGCAACAGTCGAGGAGCGTGACGAAAGTTACTCAATCCGGCTGGAAACCTTCTAAATCCATCTGCTGAAACAGCTCCCAAGTGCCTTGAATTCCAGGCGGCGAGGATGGCGGAGATTGTAGTGGCGCTGGGCGTCACCGCCGCCTCGAGGAGCATGATCCGGAAGATCCCAAATGCCCGGGTGTGATGCCCGTTCTGGGCATATGCGGAGATCATCGCGTTCCACGCGATTACATCCCTCTCGCCCATCGCCTGGAAGATCTCCTCAGCTTGAACTACGCAGCCGCAGCTAGCATACATCCTGAGCAGCGCGGTTTCCAGCACCACCAGATTCCCTCCAAGATCGTGAATACATGCCGAGCAGCGAGATCGCCACCGATGGATTGTGGTGGCGCTGGGCGTCACCGCCGCCTCGAGGAGCATGATCCGGAAGATCCCAAATGCCCGGGTGTGATGCCCGGTGTGGAAAATAGATCTACCCCCTGAGCTTCTCTCCAAAGCCCATGGTTGGCATCATTCTTGACAATGATAAAATTTAAATCGAATCTTGACTAGAACTAGTTTTGGACAAACACAAAGATGCATGAATGCGTGGGGGCATTTTGGCGGAGCTCGCTAGAGTGGATTGCCAAGCCGGCTACGCATCGCTCCTCCAGAGATGCGCGGATCCCAGGCTCTTGCCCGAGGCCAAGCTCCTCCACTCCCACATCGCTCGCCATCCCCTCCACTCGCGCAGCCTCCTCCTCCGCAACCACATCGTCCACGCCTACGCCAGATGCGGCAGCCTCGCCGACGCGCGCGCCGCCTTCGATGCCATCCCCGCCAAGAACGTCTTCTCCTGGAGCATCATCATCGCTGCCTACACCCGCCATGGCCACCACCGCCAAGCTCTGGATCTCTTCGACCAAATGGAGGCGAATCCCAGCGCTGCGCCGCCGCCCAATGCCTTCGTTCTCTCCACGGCCCTCGGCGCCTGCTCGGCGCTGCGCGATCTGGGCCGCGGCGAGCGCATCCACTCGCGGATCCAGCAGCGGCGGAGCGATCTTGGAGGGAATATGGTGGTGCTGGAAACCGCTCTGCTCAGGATGTATGCTAGCTGCGGCTGCGTAGTCCAAGCGGAGGAGATCTTCCAGGCGATGGGCGAGAGGGATGTAATCGCGTGGAACGCGATGATCTCCGCATATGCCCACACCGGGCATCACACCCGGGCATTTGGGATTTTCCGGATCATGCTCCTCGAGGCGGCGGTGACGCCCAGCGCCGCTACAATCTCCGCCATCCTCGCCGCCTGCCTCGATCTGGGATCCGGGAGGAGGATCCACTGCTTAGCGGCATCGATCGGGGTGGAGTCCCATCCATCGGTGGCGATCTCGCTGCTGGGCATGTACTCGCGATGCAGTAGCTCCATCACCAGCGCTAGAGCGCTGTTCTTGGGCATGGAGAGGAAGAGCCTGGTGGCGTGGAACACGATGATCGCGGCGTGTGCGCAGAGAGGTCTAGCGGCAGAGGCCCAGGAGCTGTTCAAGGCCATGGATGTGGAGCCGGATGGATTCACTTTCGCGAGCTTGCTGGCGGTGTGCTGCGATCTAGACCTCGGGCGGCGCCTCCACGCCGGGATTGCCACGGCGCGCCTCGCTTCGCGCTTGATCGTGGACACGGCGCTGGTGGGCATGTATTCGCGGTGTGGGAGCTTGGGCGATGCTGCGGCTGTGTTTGAGGGAATGGAGGATCGCGACACAGTCGCGTGGAATGCCATGATCGCGGCATTTGCCGAGGCGAGAGATCTAGATCGGGCTATGGAGTGCTACCAGAGAATGCTGGATCGATCCACTTGTGAGCCCAATGGGATCACGTATGCCACCCTTCTCGCTGCTTGCCGCGATCGAGGTGATCTTGGCCATGGCCGGCGCCTTTTCAAGGATGCCCAGGATCGAGGGCTCTATCCCGATCGATTCGTGCAAAGCGCGGCGGTGGCGATGCTCGCGCGGTGTGGCGCGATCTGCGAGGCCAGGAAATTGCTGCGGGAGGGCAAGATCAGGGACGTGGAGGCCTGGAACGCGATGATCTCGGCTTATGCCCAGATGGGTCATTTGCGCGAGGCTCTGGGAATCTACCGGGAGATGGAACACGACGGCTCCAGCAGCCCCGATCTCTTCACCTTTGCAAGCGCTCTAGCTGCTGCAGCTGGGCTTGGAGATCTGGACACCGGGAAGGCCATCCACGAGAGAATGGCGGCCGAAAGATCGCTCAAGCTCGATGTCTTCGCCGCAAACGCGCTGCTCACCATGTTCTCCAAGTGTGGCAGCTTGGGCGATGCCAAGCTCGTGTTTGATCGCATCCCGGACAAGGACGCAGTGTCCTGGAACTCGATGATCTCGGCCTACGCCCACCACGGCCGCTACAAAGACGCCATCGCCACGTACCGCGCCATGGACTGTCGCCCGGACGAGGCCACCATCGTGAGCGCCCTCGCGGCAGCGTCGGCTCTCGCGGATCTAGACGAAGGAGCTGCCATCCACGCCCGAGCTCTCGAGCTCGGGATCGCCACTCCTGCGGTGGAGTCCACGCTCGCGAGCATGCACGCCAAGTGTGGGAGCTTGGACGCGGCCATGGCGCTCTTCGAGAAGAACCGCGAGAAGGATCTAGTCTCCTGGAACGCGATGGTGGCAGCGTACGCGCAGCACGGAGATGGCTCCGAGGCGCTCGCGCTGATCCACCGGATGGAGCTGGAGGGGATCTCCCCGAATGGAGTGACGCTGTCCGGGGTGCTGGCGTCGTGCTCCCATGCCGGGCTGCTCGAGCGGGGGATGTTCTACGTGGGGTGGCTGAGCCGGGAGCACGGCGTGGCGGTGGAGAGTGAGCACTATCGGTTTGTAGTGGAGCTGCTCGGGCGGTGTGGGAGGCTGGGCGAGGCCGAGGCGGTGGTCCGCGGTATGCCGCTGGAGCCCGAGCCCGCGCTGTGGGTGACGCTGGTGGCCGCTTGCGTGCTCCACGAGGAGGTAAGCCGCGCGGACCGTGCCGCTGCGGGGTTGGATCCTGGCGACGCTGCGTCTTACGTGCTCCTCGCCAATGTATACTCGGCTGGGATTTGATATGTTGGCGGGAATTTTTGTAGTCGGTTAGAGTCTAGGCTGCGTTCCTGGATGCTGATCACCAAATACCACTTGGGAAGCGATGGTGAATTTTCAGCATCCAGGAACGCGTTCACTTGGAGTTCATGGCGAGGAGGTATATTTTCTTTTCTTGTCTCTGCCTCCATTGCAAAAAAAATTCTATCTGTGCAGATGTTTGGCTTTGTTGATCCTATGGTACAGTTTCTCCTAGGGGACTTGTTTCTGCTTCATTGAAAAAAGATGAGACAGAAGTCAATGTGCAAAGTTCACTGGAAGGAAATAGGAAGCGAGTGTTATCTCCGTGGCCAGGAGACAAGGGTGCGAACTAAAAACAGACAAGAAGTCGCAAAAGTGTCAAGGTCCTTCTAAGTTTTTATTATATTTTTCTTCTTTTGACAAACTTTTATGGACTTACTAGGTCCAGAAGATGTTTATGTCTCGGATTCGGGACCTGAGCTGGAGCCTAAGATTGTGTCCGATACACTGGTGGTACTTCACGTGAGAGAAGAAGAACCAGTCAGAAAGCATAATTCACCAAATCTAGAGCGTAAGTACAAATAGCTTCCTCATGAAATGCGGCGAGAATCTAATTCTTTTCTTTTACAAGTGCCAATCGACACCAGTCGGGATCCAGCTCAGAAGAAAATCAAAACAACTCGGACTTGTTTGCCAGCATGATATCTCTGCTACTTCCAAATGCTGTCTCTCATGAAAAAACGTTCAAAAAGAAAACGCAGAAGTTGACAACGCGGAAAAACCTCAGCAAACAAAGAATATCGATGAGGACACACAATCAATGTGCGGGCGGAAACATAATCGGTACCACAGTCATCGTCAACAAGCTCACTAGCTCGAATGAGCTTGAACAAGTCACAATGCAGCCCAGCCAGCTCTTAGTAAAGCAACTGGAGGCTGTCAAAAGGATTCGACAATCACAACAGCCAATGCTTTGGACGACCATTGTGCTGATTTGGACAACAAGCGGTACATTATCTCGGATACTCTTGAAAGGCTACCAGTGGAGCCTTCTGCTGAAGCTGAAGAAAAGGTCCAGGATCTCGGACATGTCGAATCACTTGATCCAGCGTGCGTGACGGATAGTATACTTCGGCCCCCAACAATGCTTTATACCTGAAGTCAATACCTTTCACAGGCGCTGGTTCCATTGAGCTACTTGATCTAGAAATTCCGTATGCGTGACGGACAGTCACACTTCGACCGAACAAGAAAAACAACAATGCTCTAGACCACAAGTCCGGTTCCATCAACGAACAAGCAGTATCTACTACGGCTCAAGCAAAGGATACGTGGACTAAACCGGAGCCTGCTCAAAATGATTCCGTAGCCAACGATTTGGCCAAGCAGTCGAGAATATATACTGGCTTTAGTTCCATCAGCCAGGCTCGGACATGCTAAAACCCGTCGCTGCTCTTGAGCACGAACTTTCAGTTCTTTGCGTGGCACTCAACGCAAGGAGTCAGGAGGTGGATGTTTGCGGCTCTTGTAGTAAAGCATGGTGTACAATTACATGCATACCGTGTTTTTGGAGCAGAGGCTTGTTCTGTGTTTCTTTCATCTTGGTACATTTGGCTTTATTTTCGCAGCTGCAAGCGGAGTTTGGAATTTAGCTCACTCCAGATGGCGACGGCCTTCTTTGTTCATAGCCCCAAGCTTCCCATATAGTGCGGGTGGTTTAACAGTCTTTGGTCGGTGCTGGAGATGAAGGTTGTGTATCCAAGAATGGCGCATGGATTGAGGTAATTGTTTTTCATGTTTGCATTAATCACGTCCTATTCAGGCATTCTCTGTATGAAACACCTGCAAGATATAGCTGGAAGACTTTTCAAAGCATTTTTAAACCTAGCCATAGTTCCTCATGAAAAGCAAGGATGGCTAACTTTGATGCACACCTTTTTATCATTTTAAAATCTATTGTTCTTACAAGAAGAAAAATAGGTTTCTTTGAGGGATTGAGTCAAAAACATATTTCACCGCACTGGGCGTTTGCTCGGAGCATTCCAGTCCACCCCATAACATCGTGCTGTGGCAGTCTCTCATATATGCCTCTCGCAAGATTAGTGCAGCCATGCTGCGCAAAAGAGTTGACAGGTGTTGCCCATGACACGGAATCTCTCTGCGACATCCTCGCAAAGAACTTTTGTGCTTGCATCCGCAGCGATCATAGAGTTCCGTAGAACTGGATTGCTCAGTATTTTTGTGTGTGAGAATCATGATCTCGTTCCATCCTGACAACAGCTTCTTTGCTTCGAGAATCACATTCCACGACACAGAGTCTCTCAGGCATGTTTTCAAATTGGTTTCTAGCCTCGCTAATCATTCCAGCTTTCGCAAATAGCATTCATGCAAACTACGTGCCACTCTGGAATTCGATAAAAAACAAGCCTCGCTACGTGAATTTGCCGGCTTTGGGCATTTGCTGAAAGAAGCGCATTCATTCTTCCCGGGCATGGACTCCAAGACGCGCTTGGCCTCGTGAAGCTGCTGGTTGTGAATGTAGGCCTGGAGTGTCGATTTCCCGCTGGGATTCCTGCGGTCCAGTGTCGATCGACAGAGGGATTCCATCCGTGGTCTCGAATGCGTCCAGAGCACGAGGGATTCTTCGCCAGGTGACGCCCAAGATCCAAGCGTTCCAGGCAACTACATTCTCGCCTCAACCAGGCAGCCAGACATGCCCATCAAGCTGCAAGGAACGTAGAGATCACTGTGCTGCTTGGCTCTCTGCGAGGCTTGCGCTCCTTGATTCCCTCCACTCGGGCACAATGGAGCTTGTTCCTGGAAGCCATTCTAGTCTTGCTCGCTTGCCTGAGCCCAGCAGCGCCTTCCATGGTTAGCACGCTTATGGAACAATATCCTTGTGGAGCGGATCAACGCTGCCTTTGTGCCCGTGCTCGCAGTGCACAAAGGGCTCGAGTTTTAGTTCCATCTCGATAAACAATAAGTTTGTTTTCCAGGTGATTAGATTCTGGAGATAAACAATAGGCAGCGCAAAACTTTTGAGAAGAGAAAGCTGTTCGCTCTCCCAAGTCTTAGAATTTTCTCTCCCGGATCGACGACGCTGTCGAGAGAATCTGGAGCACAGCAGCGATTCTCGCAGTTTGAAACGAAAAAGTCGTGAAACTCGTCACGATATCTCAATAGCTTCTTGTTCTTGCTCAAGTTCCTCGAAAAACTCTTCGAGCGCTCTCTCGTCTCCTGCCCGAGTAGCAAGGCCGATGGCACGGGTCCATAGCCACCAGGCAGCGTACGTGTTGGCCAGAAGCATGCACGACTGCGTCTTCTTGTCTGGAGCGAAATGGTTGATGTAGTTTGTCACCCGCAGTGCTCGAGCGATGTCGCTGTGCGTTTTGCAGGCACTCGGCTCGAACGGCATGTTGCAAATCATATCCTCGGCGATTTCCAAACGCCCCGCTCTTCCCAGAACGTCGAGGAAGCAACCATAGCACTCGTTTGCAAAGCTAACTCCATAGTCCCCTATTATACAAAGAAAGCCAAACCAGTCAGTCAGCCCCACACCATCGCCACCGCGTCCTGCTCGCTCAGATCCATTGACAAGCTTAGCTCCCTAGCACTGAGCTTGAGCTTGCAAACTTCCTGCTCCAGCTTGTGTATCTCGTCCCTGTGAGCCCGCAAGTCCGCCTCGGACTTCCTCTGTATCCTTTCCACTCTTTGCTTGGCCGCCGCTTCGGCTTTCTCCCTGGCTAGTTTCTCGGCCTCCAAACGCAAGAGTGCCTCGTCTTTGGCCTTCTTGTCTTGCCTGCTCCTACCCTGTGTAGTGTTCATGGAAGTTAACACATGAATGCGAGGGAAGTATATGCGTACCTCGGCTTGGTGCTGGGACTCTTGTATTTCTGATGTATATGGTCAATCCACCTGTCGCGCAAACAGGTTTGCAGCTCTTTTCTCTCTTTACACTGCCTTTGTGTCCTTTCACTGCTCTTTTGATCCCTTTGACAGAGTGCCAACTCCGACATCCAGGTGACGGCGTCCTTGAATTGGACCCCCTGGAAGAGCGGCAGACGCCTTGGGAGCCTTCCACAAGATGGAAGATTGAGATGTTTTCTCGTGGAACATTGCGACGGCGGCATTTGCCCGATGCGAGAAGCGGTGGCACTCATGCTTCTTCATTCAACGCCTCAGATCCACGCGGTATTCGTCGCCGCTGGCCTAAGATAATGAGCTCGCATTTGCCCCACTGGTCTCCCACGAGGTTCTGCCAGCCAGCTCCTGCAAGCTTTCGCCCAGGATCTTGGGAAGCTGAAAGCTGAGGCACACAAGCAAGTACCGCAGAATCTCCATCGCCACAGTGCTGCTCAACGTCTACGGCAAGCTCACGCCACGATCAGCAGCCGCACTTTCCATACATTTCCATGACGAGATTAGCGAGGCCGCTGGAGACGATTTCCTCCCAGAGATCTGTGCTCACCGACCGCATCCTTGACAAGGCGTCCGCTCCTCATTCCTGCAAATCGGAAGGATAACTTACACACAAGCAATCGAGATTTATTCTTTCCTTTGCGTGATCTTATGCGTGAAAGACTTTCCCTTCGAAACTCCTGTGCAATGGAGCAAGCACCAAAGGTGTGTTAGAGGGAAACCAAAATCAACGTTTTCTGGTGATCTTCTCATTCCAGGTATCTCGCAGAGCAGCTCTTCCAAGGGCCCGTCTTTGTATGCGACTATCAAAACGCGTTTCATAGCGATGATGGCCAGATGGCGGCATGCTAGTGCGCGAGGCGGGAAAAGGCTCCCTCCCACAAGCTCGCCGACCTGGAAGAAAAACACGACTTTCAAGAGCTCTGGCTTTGATTCTCCTGGGGAGCCAGATGCAAAGGTATGGGGATTTGAGAGTTTCGTAAGACCTCCGGGCCACTGAAATGGTGTGCTTGATTCTTGCAGGCTCGTATGTAGAAGAACTACATACGAGTGGTACTGGATTGGCGACGATGGGATCGTGAAGCACTCTGGATTCGGGCTGGGATTTGAGAGGATGAGTAGAGAACATCGGGGATGTGATATTTCCTGGAAAGGCCAATCAATGGATCACAACGTTGACAAGAGTATATGCTGATAAGTCACCGTCACGAAAGCTGTCACAGGAATATTCTTTAGGAGATTTTCCTCATGGTATTAATCGAAAAAGTTTATCGCCTCCACAAGGCTCTGAACACTCATGGCCTTTACTTTGGCCAAGGCGTTGGCGTCAGCAGCCAAGGAATTACTGTTGAGTTTAGCGGTGAAGCTGGTGATGGTTATGGTGGCTTCCCAGGTGGTGATCTTCCCCGCCTTCTTTGTCATGGTGGCGTCCGCCCAATACATATTTAACTCCGGGTTTGTGGCTGGCGACCTGAAGGAGAAGAGCGTGTACAGCGCCCGAACACTAGTGTTGTCCTCGACGTGCGCAAACGTAGGGACGTGCAGCAGCGCCTTTTGCAAAGTCTTGGTAATCTGGTTAGCGGTCTCAGTGTCGTGGGTGCGCTGCAGGTAGTCGCTGACGTCTTTCCAGATCGTGTCGCAGCTGCCAGACATGTCCTCGCTGGCCGCTGCCGTGAGGTAAACATACTGCGGGAATGTGGTGACAAGCACTGTCAGAAACTGCTGGAAATGCTTGGCCTGTTGGCTGGCCTCGGCGGGATCGGTGATGAGCTTTGGAGAGTAGTGGGCGAGTTGCATTCCAACAGCCGTAAAAGTTGCCAAGGCGTGGACATGGAACTTTGGTAGCTTGTAAACCTCGGCATTTGCTCCAGGAAGAGGCGGGGCGTTCACAGCAATAGCTACAGGAATGTAGACATCTACATCAGTGGCCACATGAGCGTCAACATGCAGGAATCGTGCTCGAGAGACCGCCTTGGAGTTGGAGCTCACGTTCCTGAACACCTCTAAAGCGTGATTGAACTCATTGTTATTCATCAGCAATGGCAGCGCCATGAATATAAAAGCGGGATAAAGAGCAGAGTGATCTAGAGACAACGAGAAAGGAGCGGATGTTCAGATGGGTAGTCATTCCAGCTTTATATACCACCAAGAGCTTGAGCATGCAAAAAACGATGTCAATTGCAATGAATGATCAAGGACATGGGGCCATCTTGAAGTTCCAAGGAATGACAGTGAAATATCACTTTCTTAATAGAATGCTATAGTTTTTGAGATTGCAAGATCATAGCTAGAACTATACATCAGCCTACGTACCCTTGCAAAAAAAACATATCATAAATCATCAAGGACATGGCCCCAATATGGAATGACTGTGAAATATCACTTTTTTGACAGTCATGCTATAGCAATGTTGAGATTGCAAGATCATAGCTGGTCCAGCATGACATTTTTTTGTTTTGCAAGGGTACGTATGTCGTCAAGAGCTGGAATGACCCATTGCAATTGACAAGTAAGTATATGCCCTTGCAAAAAAAAAATGTCATGAATGATAAGGGACATGGTTTATATATAGGGCTTTAATTTCGACAACCTGCTTGACAAAAGAGCCTTTAGTGGCTATTTTATCTCTATTTATCCCCCAAGGTTTTAAGGATCCATGATGACAATATATTTAAATATTATCTTATGATCACATGCGCTACATTAAAGATTGACAATGTAATATACAGCATGCTATACTTGTTGAGATTGCAAGGTCATAGCTACCAACCTATTGTAAGCGACTAATTTTTCTTTTTTACTTTAGTCACTTAACTGCACCTTCAACCACTTGGAGGAGTCTCATTCACAACCTCCATAAGTCCCAGTTAGGACTTGGGGCTTGCCAGCCCTGAGAATGGCATCCATGCCACTCAACCTTTGCATTTGGTCCAAGTGCTCCACGTGTCCGATCCCATGACCGACACCCCAAGGTACCACCGACATACCAGCCTGTTATGCTAGGCCATGCCCATTCACCTTGGTCACACCGGTGGTCTAACGCCACCTACATCATAATCCCGTCTCTCAAAGACTGGGCCATCCATCCATGAGCAATCATCCTAGATCTACTCCTTAGCATCCTTATGATGCCCGCAGACATGGGGAGTAGCCTTCCCCAACAACTCTTTTCCAGTCCCCACCAAGTCCCTTTTAGTCCATGACCGTGTTCGCCAACACTGCCACTGGATCAAGGCCTGCAGGCCTGACCGCGAAGTCCCACTATCCTTTGGGACTTCCTCACCATGTGACCGTATCCTTGGTCACTACATTAGAGGCCTACTCCTCTTCCCTTTCACCGTTTGGGACTTTGGGACAACATTTCGGAACACCGTGGCCTTACGCAAACCTCATGGGTACTCTCCCCACCTTTTGCCTTTAGGTGCTCTAGCCATGGGCTTAGAGCGAGGTTCCGTTGAGCCACGACAGGTATCCAAGTAGGTAGTGCCACCCACACTTGGATTGGGAGTATCGGCCAGTCGATCTCCCGGGGGAACTAGAGCCGGCTTTTGAACACTTCACCAAGCTACCCCGCTTGTCGGTCCGTGTTCACTCTAGTCTTGGACTTCCCAATGGGCAGCTCATCACCCAACACTGGGTCTGGCCTTCCTGGGCCAAACTAGCCTTTCCTGGCCAAACTGGCTCCACTGCAGTCCTCCCCCTAATATACTTTTGGAGCTCACCAAACCCCCCAGGGTCTGGGAGACGAACGCTTTGGGCTTTCACCCTCTCAGACTTGAACTCGGACTCGGACTTGGACTCGGACTCGGACTCGGATTCGGACTCGGACTCGGACTTGGGCTCGGTCTCAGCCTCGGCCTCGGTCTCGGTCTCGGTCCCGGTCTCGGTCCCGGTCTCGGTCTCAGTCTCGGTCCCGGTCTCGGTCTCGGTCTCGGTCCTGGTCCCGGTCTCGGTCCCGGTCTCGGTCTCGGTCTCGACTTCGGACTCCATCTTGGGTCCATCTCGGACTCTATCTTGGACTCCATCTCGTGTCCATCTCGGACTCCATCTCGGGTCCACCTTGGACTCCATCTCAGACTCCATCTCGGACTCCATCTCCAGTCTATTTCGGACTCCATCTTGGACTCCATCTCGGGGTCCTTCTCGGACTCCACTTTGGACTCCAACTCGGGTCCATCTCGGACTCCACTTCGGACCCCAACTCGGACACTTCCACGTGTCATGTGTTGGTCCTTTTGGGTCCCTTTTTGGAACCTCGCTTATTGCTCGCTTCGTGCTCGTTCCTTGAGCACTTCGTTGGGAGTTCCACTCCCGCTCTCAACCTTTTAAGTCGGAGCTTTTAGTCCAAACGTGTTACACTCGTTTGGTTTTCGCTTTGGCCACCACCACATGGCACACTTCCGGCTCCACTTTGGGGCCTAGGGATTTCGTGTCTCACACCTATATACCCTTGCAAAAAACATTGTTATAAATTATCATGGACATGTGGGCCCCAATCTTGAAACGAACAAGCGAGCAAACCTTAGGCCAACCTCCCAACCCTTAAGGCGTTACAGCCTTATATTCCACAAGCCATAGAATATTTTAAAAATAATCCTATGGTTTCATGTCAAATCTTGCTTGGCATACAATACACCCTTAGCCCTCACAGAAATCATTAATTATGGCATTGGACCAGACAAGGGCTAGAAATGTACACCATCCAGCATGACATTTTTTTTTTTGCAAAGGTTTTTTGCAAGGGTATGCATGTCCTCAAGAACTGGATGCAATTGACAAGTATGTACATACCCTAGCAAAAAATAAAAATAAAAAATTTGTGAATGGTCAAGGACATGGGTGGTCCCCAATTTTGACAACCTCAAGAGGTCAAATTCAGCTTCATTGTTGAGATTGCAAGATCATAGCTACCAACCTACATACCCTTGCAAAAAACATTGTCATAAATTATTAAGGACATGGGCGTAGAGCTGCTACAAGTGGGCCCCAATCTCACTTATAAGAAATGATGGTGAAACATCACTTTCTTATCACTTTAGGGTGTCCTGACAAATACTAATGGTTGCCTCTGGCATAATTAATTATTTCTAAATCATTAATTATGGCATCTAGGTCCAGACAAGGGCTAGAACTGTACACCAACCTATGTGGTCCAGCATGACATCTTTTTATTTTTTGCAAGGGTTTTTTGCAAGGGTACGTACGTCGTCAATAGCTGGAATGACCGCTCTGCCCTTGACGAGTACATGCAAAACAAATGTGTCATGAATGATCAAGGACATGAGCTTAAAGAATGACGGTGCATGCTATAAGCATGCCTAGAGTATACCAATGCAATTTTGTTTTCAGTCTCTGCAAATGGACTCACTTTTATTATGCAGCACAGATCTGGCTGTTGATAATGTCACATGTTCAAAGTTGACATACTACCAAATTCTGAGCTCCAGCTATAAAGATCCCAGTGATCCATCACAGTTAACACCAAGGCCTGTTATTTGATCTCCTTTCACGTCCAGCAATTGTGTGTTCAGTCTTTCTTTCCCCTCTCAAACCTTATTCTCACAAGTGTGCTTCTGCAGGTAGATCTTGAACAATTCCCTCTTTGCAGGAGAGCAACTCTTCTATTGACTTTCTTCTCTTTCTCAGTCAAGCTCGAGCAGGCCACAAGAGCAGAACAATGGGAAGCCTACCACAGCTTCTCAGTGAGGACGAGGCTCGACACAACCTACAGGTTTTCACTAAGTCTGCCATGATTTCAAAAGCTCGCAGCTACATCCGCTCATCTCAACCCCTGTCAGTAGTGATAGAAGTACCGACAAATAATGACATTGTTGCACCTGGGGCCGAAGTTGTGAATGGTCCTGATGACACTGCGTCGTCACAGCTGGAGTTCTACAGAAACCCCAAGTACCACACTGACGTCCTTGCCACCTTTATTGCCACAGCGATGTCTATTGCTAAATATGTTCCACTACTGACGGAGCTTACAGACCAGGCCAACAAACAATCGGAGGATTTTGCCAAATTCCTCCAGATCCTGGTGTCCACTTTCCCGCAGTATGTTAAGTTTGCAGGAGCAAGCAGCATCGCCATCGAGAACAAGTCAAGTTATAATCAGTTACTGTCAACGGTGCATGACTTCATACAGGAGACTGCTATTGACCCGTCTAAAGCTGGTGCGGGCGTGATCCAAATGATCAAGAATGCAACCCATGCCATGGATTCTACAGTAGAAGGCAGCTACAGGCGTTCACTCTATACTTCATATTCTTTCCAGGGCCGTGCTCGCAATCCCCAAACGACAATGTACTGGAGTAGTGTCAACTTGGAGAGGAACCGCAGCGGCAAGACTACGTGTGTGTCTGCTGAGCTGAAGATCGTCCGCTTTACCGTTGAGGTCATCAGTAATTCCGTGATTGCTGATGCTCATATCCTGGCAGAGGCAAAGGGCCGGGCAGCCCAGGAGATTGCGGATATCATAAATGGACATATAAATCCGTCCAAGGACAATCATTAGAGAGCTCTGTTGGGGCCGTAAGCCAAATGATAATGAATGGAAATTTGCTCTAAGTATATAGGTATATGGGAAGTATGTAAAAGGAAAATTGGTAATAAAAAAGTCCATAAATATTATTAGATGCAGTGATTAAAAAATTAATTAAGAGATCCATAAATATTTAAGTTACAAAGGTGTGAGTGGGTGACCACTCCAAGGTGGATTATAGTTTCAACACAAGCTTTATCATAGTGGATACTCTACAAGGTTGTTGCACAGTTTGTTGAAGCAGGACAATATTGCTTCCCTCTGCTCTTCTTGGCATAAAAACTTTTTGGACCAATATTCAGTTTATTTAGCATTTTACCAGGAAACTTTACATGTAATTTTCTCTCCCTTATTAAATTTGCCATCGTTAAATAATAGGTAAAGCATTAAATTAGTGGCCACCAGATTATTTGGGTATGATATGTTGTTTCTCAAACTCATCCATAGTAAACACATGTGGTTTTTTATTTGCAACGCAAGACTCTTCAAGCTAATTCCACCACTGAAGACTCGTATCTCGCAAAACCATTGGAATAACCACTAAAGCCTTTGCATCTAGAGCTCT